TCTTTTGCTCAATCAAGTTTGGAGTACTTAGGCCATATTATCTCTGATAAGGGAGTCTCTACAGATCAAAGCAAAATTGCAGATATGCTTAAGTGGCCAGCCCCTACAGACTTTACTGACCTAAGAGGATTCCTGGGGTTAACTGGATACTATAGGCGCTTTGTGAAACACTATGGTTTGATCACTAAACCCCTAACCAGTATTCTAAGGTTAAAACAATTCACATGGACTGAAGCAGCACAAAAGGCTTTTGAAACAGTGAAACAAGTGATGACTACAACTCCAGTACTCCAATTACATGATTTCCAGGATACTTTCACTATAGAGACAGATGCCTATCAAGATGGCATTGGGGCTGTTTTGATGCAAAAGGGCAAACCAGTAGCATATTTGAGCAAAGCCTTGGGGAAAAAAACATAAGGGTCTCTCCATATATGAGAAGGAATTTTTAGCTCTCATTATGGTTGTTGAAAAATGGAGGCACTATTTGGAGAGAAATGAATTTATCATCTTGACCGACCATAAGTCCCTAACATACCTCAAGGAGCAAAACCTGCATTCTGAGATGTAGAGGAAGGCTATGACTAGACTCATGGGTCTCCATTTCAGGATCATATACATGCAGGGTAAGGATAATGTTGTCAGCTAATGCTCTCTGGTCAGAATGGCTCACCTCTTAGCAATACAAGCGGTATCCTCAGTCCAACCAGCATGGTTACAAGAGGTGCTCAACTCATATACAACTGACTCAAAGGCTCAAGACTTGCTTCAGAAATTAGCCATTAGCAGTCCAGATGCAAATGGATATAGTTTGGAAAAGGGACTCATTAAACATCAAGGTCAAGTCTGGATTGGTAACAACTCTGCTCTGCAAACTAAGCTCATTGCTGTCTGCCATTCTAGTGCCATTGGGGGGCATTCAGGTGTTGCTGCTACATACTACAAACTAAAAAAACATTTTGCCTGGAAAGGGATGAAGCACCAAGTGGAGGATTTTGTGAAACAGTGTGCTATCTGCCAACAGTCTAAGCATGTCCACCATCATCCTCTAGGTCTCTTGCAACCTCTCCCAATTCCTGATGGCATCTGGCAAGACCTTTCTATGAACTTTATTGAAGGTTTGCCTAAATATGAGGGTTTCAGTGTTATCTTGGTAGTGGTGGACAAATTCACTAAATATGCTCACTTCATACCCATTAGACATCCATATATGGCAAGTTCTATTGCTCAATCATTTATGGACAATGTAGTCAAATTGCATGGTTTGCCAAAAACCATTGTATTTGACAGAGATACAGTGTTCCTCAGCCATTTCTGGACAACTCTGTTTAAACTATACAAAGTGGACCTCCATTTTAGTACAACCTACCATCCCCAGTCAGATGGACAGACTGAGCGAGTTAATCAGTGTGTTGAGATGTATTTAAGGTGTGTTGTTCAAGACTCACCAAGTACATGGAAGTCCTGGCTCTCTTTGGCAGAATTATGGTACAATTCTTCACTTCACTCAGCTTTGGGATGTTCTCCTTTTAAGGCTTTATATGGATATGAACCTTCTCTCGAGTCATTACATATGTTCCACTGTATAGCAACCTCGATGACGGATAATATAGAGCACCGATAGTTACAATTAGAGGCTTTAAAGCAAAGCTTGGGAAGGGCACAAAACATAATGAAGATGATAGGCGATGGAGAGAGGACTGATTTCCATTTCAATGTGGGTGATCGTGTTCTATTGAAATTACAACCCTATACTCAATCATCAAGTGGCTAATAGGCCATATCCTAAGTTGGCCTACAAATACTATGGACCATACAAAGTTCTCGACAAAGTCGGCATCTTTGTTGCCTACCGCTTGGAGCTTCCTCGCAAATTCAATGATCCATCCTGTCTTTCACATATCACAGCTCAAGCCTTTTGTTCCCAACTACACACCAAGTGTTTGCATCTCTACCAGATTATAATCGATCCGAAGCGGCTCACTGCAGAACCACTATCAATCCCGGCGCGCCGCCTAGTGCAAAAGGGTAATACAACAATCCCTCGAGATCAAGGTGACTGGACCAAGCTGCCTCCATCGATCACCACATGGGAGGACTACTACGTGCTCAAACAGCGCTTTCTGATGCACCACTTGGGGACAAGCCGATTCTCAAGCGGGGAGATGTCGCGCCGGAGACGCTTATCCCAAGAGGTCTTTGGACAATGAACAGGAGAAGAAGCGTTGGAAGAAGAAGGCGTCTTCATATCTACGTTTACGTGTTTATAATAGCCGCTTACATTTGTGTCATTGCTTTGTGGACCCGAGTGGTCGACTTGTAAGGGAATAAAACACCCGATGCCTTCAGAAGAACCATCGAACTCATATTCATGAAAACTGAAACTCGCCAAGGCAGAGGGCTTGCCCACCCGGCGACCTCGTTTCCATATATCCGCTGCGTTTGTGCTCACGTCGTGGCGATCCCTCGTCGGCGGCCAAGGGTGTGACAAAAGCACACCTCCTTTATGGGCGGGCGCGTCCTCTCGATGAGCGACGAGGGTCCTCCTTCGGCACGTAGATCCGATGGCGGTGGTGGTAGTCCATCCTCTCGGTGCGACTTCGGTGCTCAAGGTCGCTTTCGGCCCGGCTTGATGTGCTTGTTCGTGGTTTCTCAAGGTCGCTTTCGGTGGCTTGATGTGCATGTTCGTGACTTCATCAAGTCCAGATCGAGGGCACCGCCACTTCTTTAGCTTTCCGTTCTTCATTCATTCTCTGTTTCTTATGCAGCTCTCTGCATGCAAGAACATCGCCGATGATGACCCACAAAGACAAGCGCTCTCGAGCCGCCGCCGCGCAGCCGGGCCGATACCCGACGAGGTCGTCGATTGGGAGCAGCGACGTCTGAGTCGAGATGTGCCGGCACAGAAGCTCTCAACAAGGGTATACATGTCATTTTAGATGCCACTGGACGCCGTTACTAGCCCAAATAGACGGTAGTGCTATCTAAGGAAGGAAATTTTAACTTAATGCCAAATAAGAAAGTTTAAATTTTTTAGTGCCAAATACAGAAGACTGATTTGTTTCAGTGCCAAATATATAATTCTCCCAACTCTTAAAGGTGCCAACGGATGCTAGACCGGATGGTCAAGCACTCCGAGTGGCACCCTTGCGGCCTGGGTTTGATCCCTCATAGGGGTGAATTGCAGCGCCGAAGGTTAGAAAAAAAAACCTCGTCTGCTTCGTGTTACCTAAAGCACAAGTTTATGGTCCCGGCCCACTCACAGGGAAACAGATCCTTGTGTGCGTGCAGGGTACAAGGTTCGTAGGTTTTATCGGACTAGTTGAGGAGTCCTCTACCTTAATGCAAATACACGGAGGCACATGCTATCTCCGCGGTCCGAGTTTTTTTAGACTCAGCCTAAAGAATTAGGCAATATTCGCTTCTCTTATAATCCGTCTTTTTCAGGTTGTTTTTTCAGCCGGAACAGTGTTTTTCTCTCACAACAAATCAGCCGGAACAATGTTTCGGCTTGTTTTTTCAGCGAAGCGAACGAGGCCTTAGGGTTGTATGGCAGCATGTGCTCTCGCGACAAGAACCAGGACAGTCACTAGGGACGGTGTCATTGCCAATTCAATAAGAGCAAGACTAATAATACAGCCGGCTGCTGACTGCTTACAGCCAATCTATCAGCCCCCTAGTATAAAATAGTTAGCCGGCTTACAGTCTACTTATCTGTCTCACATAATTTCTTGGTTCATATATATAAGCTGACTGTAAGCTTATCACCCATTTCTCTTCTCTTTCTTCCTCTCTCCTCCACGTGAGCATACAGCTCCCTTACCATCTCTTATTATACTTGCTCTGGTCCTCCAAACCTGGGCACCCTGCAATATTAGCCGCTGACCCACTGTCACGAGTGTGACCAGCGGCCTTTATTACACTCCAGAGTCCCGAGCACACAGCACCACGGCCAGCCGCCGGATCTCCGTGCTCCAACGGCTCGTGCCACTTGCCCACTTCCAAGCGCCGCCCGCCACGAGGTGCGCGAGATCCGATCGATGGGCCCTCTTGCCGTTGCCAACTTGCCTGAGAGTCTGCCAGTCCGGGACCGGGAGAGTCGTCAGAGTCTCGAGTCCCCGCTTCGGCTGGCGGGCGCGGTGCCATCACTGCCGTCAGTCCAGCCACCAACCACACTGGTCCTGAGGACCGAGGACTGACGACTCACCTACGCCTGCACGTCCTTTGGCCGCTGACGTGCCGTGCCGTGCCGTGGCCACCGTTTGTTTCCGTTCAGCTGCCGCTACGCCCACGGCCACGGGCACAGACGGCTCGTAGCTAGGCCGCCAGGAGGACCACCAACCTGCCTGCCGTCGCTTTGTGCTTTGCCATAAAGAAGGCTGGGACGGAATATGGGAGGGCTTTTCGGCAAACGGTGCATTGACACGGACACCCGTGCGGTGCGCAACACGGAGATCTTTTCCGGGTTCGCCCGTTCGCCCCCGCAGAGCCGCCACCAACCGCACTTTCAACTCCGTTCGTTTCAACAGACGTGCGTGCCGGATTCCTTCGACGGGCTCCCCTTGTCAGCCAGCCATGGGTTAGGAAGGAGTAGGGTCATTCATCGACGGTGTCCTGATTGCACCTTACTGGAGTAGTATAATGATCTTCTACAGGCTAAAAGCCAAAAAATGCAAAATGCGATTCGTTCACCGGTGCACGTTACATGAACCAGAGGTAACGTTGCAGGACCGCTAGAGGTACGTGGTTGTATTTGCCATTTTGCCCAAGGTTTCAACTACCAAACCAAAATCGGGCTCGTCAAGGTAGGTAGAGCCTACCAGAGTTGGGCGCACGCCTCACTCACCAGGTCAGCTTGCTATAAGTACAAGCGCTGCACCGCGCACCCACCGAACCACACCACTCAACAGCTCACCCTCCCTCTCTGATCTCTGATCTCTGACCAAAACACCAAACCCCTCGACCCGGCCCGACTCCACACATCCCAGTTCCCAGCCGCCATGGCGGCGCCGTCCCCGACCACCGCCGCCGCCGCCGCCACGACCCACCACCGCGCGCTCCTCCCGTCTCCGCGCCCCCGCGCCGCCGCCGCGCCCTCCGCCGTCCGCCTCCCGCTCCGCGCGCAGCCCCACGCCCAGCGCGCGCGCCTCGCCGCCCCGGTCGCCGCCGCGGCCCCGGCGGCGTCGACGGCCTCCCCCGAGTCCCCCGCCGCGGGCGCCGTCGCGGGGAAGCCGACGGTGCTCGTGGCCGAGAAGCTCGGCGCCGCGGGGCTTGCGCTGCTGCGGGAGTTCGCCAACGTCGACTGCTCCTATGGCCTCTCCCCCGAGGACCTCCGCGCCAAGATCTCGCTCTGCGACGCGCTCATCGTCAGGTCCGGGACCAAGGTCGGCCGCGACGTCTTCGAGGCGTCCGGCGGCAGGCTCCGCGTTGTCGGCCGCGCCGGCGTCGGGATCGACAACGTCGACCTCGCCGCCGCCACCGAGCATGGGTGCCTCGTCGTCAACGCGCCCACCGCTAACACCGTCGCCGCTGCCGAGCATGGCATCGCGCTGCTCACTGCCATGTCCAGGAACATCGCGCAGGCGGACGCATCACTCAAGGCTGGTCAGTTTTTCTCAGTGCACCCCTCCACTCTGAAAATGATTCCTGATTCTGTTTTGACATGATGCTTCCATTTTCTTTCGAATCTGTGACCCAAAGCGTTAACAAATTGTATTTCGCATGGACCGACCCTACATTCGTAGACAATCTAGTATCGTGCAGGCATTCGATATAATAGCTGTTCAACTGTCCTCTATCTTTCAGGCATGTTCAGTATATAGCTGTTTCTTATTTGACAAATTGGAAATGAGGCTTTTAGAGGAACTACCAAGTATATAGTTACTTATTTTCAAGTAGATGCATCGAAAATGTGCTACTATCAATCTAGTATGAAGCCTGTTTTTTCACTTTCAATTATCGGCAATCATTTTTGGCTTTTGAATGGATGTTCATTTTATCTCTTTTTGTGAATTGGTTATTAAAGAACAGTATTTTGCATGGGTGCTAGGCTCCTAACCAGCTAGTATCTTGTAGGCATGTTCAGTATAGAGCTGTTCAGCTGTCCTCTATCGCTCAGGCATGTTCAGAATATAGTCGTCTTGGATAGAGCATGGTGATGATTAGATGATGCCCAGTTCTTCTGTTTCAATTATGTGTTCCTATTAAGAAATAGAAGCAAGAGTACGAGTACAAGATAGTACGATACACCTTTAAAAGATACGAAACACAGATGAACTTGAATTGTTATTTCTCGCTTCAAAAAATGACTTCTTTTTGTGAATTGCTTGGGAGAGTACACTATCACAGTAGCGCCAGTTGTTAATCCATCAATGGTTCAATGCTGTTCTGTGAAGCTTACGTGTTGAATTGCATCTTGCACAGGTCAATGGCAGCGCAACAAGTATGTTGGTGTATCTCTTGTGGGAAAAACTCTTGCTATTCTTGGATTTGGAAAGGTCGGTTCAGAGGTTGCTCGTCGTGCTAAAGGCTTGGGAATGCATGTGATTGCACATGATCCATATGCTTCTGCTGATCGGGCTCGTGCAATCGGGGTTGAGCTAGTTAGCATGGAGGAGGCCATGACAACTGCTGACTTTATCTCGTTACACATGCCTCTTACGCCTGCAACAAACAAGATGCTCAATGATGAGGCCTTCGCTAAGATGAAGAAGGGCGTTCGCATTATAAATGTGGCACGTGGTGGTGTAATTGACGAAGAAGCTCTAGTCAGGGCACTTGATTCAGGAATAGTAGCACAGGTTTGTTTGATTATCTTAACTCACCTCCTTGTGTTTCATGCTCTAATGAAATTCAGTGAAGCGTCGTTGAGATGTTTCCCTGGAATCATGCTTATATTTTTCAATTTTTCTGTTTATTAGGCTGCTCTTGATGTGTTCACTAAAGAACCCCCAGCACCTGACAACAAGTTGGTACTGCACGAGAATGTTACTGTCACACCTCACCTTGGTGCCAGCACAGTGGAGGCACAGGTATGCTGAATTAGCTCAGAAATGACCAATCCAGGTTCTCTATTGTAGCTATCAGTTTGCTTAACATGACAAGTTTCACAGGAAGGAGTGGCTATTGAGATAGCTGAAGCTGTCATTGGAGCTCTGAAAGGGGAGCTTGCAGCTTCTGCAGTCAACGCGCCAATGGTTCCTGCTGAGGTATGAATCTTTCGTTATCTGCTTACCCCAACTCATTCCTCCTGACATTTAATATGCTACATCTATTCGGTTCATGCAGGTGCTGTCAGAGCTTGCACCTTTTGTTGTGCTTGCAGAAAAGCTTGGGCGCTTGGCTGTGCAACTTGTTGCTGGTGGCGGTGGTATCAAGTCTGTGAAAGTGACCTATGCGTCTGCACGGGCCCCTGATGATCTTGACACGAGACTTCTCCGTGCAATGATCACCAAGGGATTGATTGAACCAATCTCCAGTGTTTTTGTCAATCTGGTAAATGCTGACTTCACCGCAAAGCAGAGGGGAGTTCGCATCACCGAGGAGAGGATACTGTTGGACGGCTCACCTGAGACACCTATTGATTATATTCAAGTTCAGATTGCCAATGTTGAGTCCAAATTTCCCAGTGCGATATCTGAGACTGGAGAGATCACTGTGGAGGGGAGAGTGAAGGATGGTGTTCCTCATCTAACAAAGGTTGGAGCATTCCAGGTGGATGTGAGCTTGGAAGGAAGCCTGATCCTTTGCAGGCAGGTTGATCAACCAGGTATGATTGGGTCAGTGGGAAGTGTCTTGGGTGAAGAGAACGTCAATGTCAGTTTCATGAGTGTTGGAAGAATTGCTCCTCGCAAGCATGCTGTCATGGCAATTGGTGTTGATGAGGAACCAAGCAAGGGCACACTGACAAAGATCGGGGAGATTCCAGCGATTGAAGAGTTTGTTTTCCTCAAGCTCTAGGCGCAAAGTGCAAATGTATGTTTGAAGTTGCAAGCATGGTGTGCAATTTTGATGTAGCTAGCAATCTAGAGGACGGATGGTTCTCCTTGAAATAAGCTTTTAGGAGTATTTTTGTAGTGGTGCTCTTGAATTTGGTGCAGTATTGATGCCTCCTTTTGAACGGGGTGGTTATTAATAAAAACTTGTCTCCATACTTGGCTCATTGGCTGTTTTATTACTTGGCTCATTGGGACAATACTCTGTTTGCTTGGTTGCATGCAGTCTTTATAAGACAGGGAGTTTGAAAGCGAGGATTGTAATTTGTACCTGGCGTGTTTTTCAGTTATAATGTTTTGCAGGCCCACATTTTTTTTATACACGTACTAAAATATTTATCCGGCATATGTTTGGATTTGAATTCAAACATGCTGCCCGTTTCAATGCTGGACCTGCAATTCTGCCCGGCCCTTTGCTCCTGCACCTGCGGATGCGGAACTTATCTGAATCATCTTAATTCTGCACGTGGCTCTTAGTATCGAGTAAGTTGACCATATCATCACTAATCTTCAACCTTAGCTGAAAATTGGTTGAAGCCATAGATTCGGAATCGAATTCAAATCGGAAACAGTAGCACACGCACACGACACATAGGCATAAGCAGTCTGCTCTGCTGCACTCTAGTTTAGATGATCGAGGTCGTGTTTGAAAGGCAGTGGTAATGGTACTCTACAGGGCCTGCTGCACTCTTGTTTAGATGATCGAGGTCGTGTGATCAGCTGCACTTATTCGACAGGCGGCAGCTGCATGCATACAGTGGTAATCAACAGAACCTTCTAGTTTGGATTTCTGCATCAACAGCTGCAGCCACAGCTAGATAAGTGCAGCCGATTACAGCAATGGATTTCACCGAAAGCAGCACGATTCTCATGAAGGCTCAATAGAATTCCGGCACCCGGGACGAGGCCGAATTTTTTCCATGGCCATTCTCTTGGGATACAGAACTGAAAACTTTACGGCAAGGAACACTGGAAAAAGGAAACAAGCCTGTCCTGTTACACGGAAAGACTTAAGTACTTCACACACGACTGATTCGTACGAAACATGTCGCAGCCAAATGATATTCAAGAGTTTGAGGAAAAACACGAGAAAAAAAGCTAATTGCGAATCTGAAATGATCCATGATCACCACTGCACGCATCACCTACTTATAAACTTGCAGACTTCCCAGGGGAGCCTGTACCTTCTAGCTCAAGTGGATCAGCCTTGCTCAAGTACTTTATGTAAAGCGATCGTGATATGTTCAGAGAGTCTCCTATAGCTGTGGCTGAAAACACCTTCCTATCGCTCTGCCAGTTGTTGGTGAGGCTGATCCATTCCCTCCTCCATTCCTTAAGCGCGAAAGGTGCATTCTTCTCCATGCTTAATAACAAGTGCTTGAAGTAGATGGCGGCCCTTGGCCCATAGTAATCTCGCAGCAGGCCGCTCCAGTACTTGTTTGCTGCAACAAATTTTGTGAGAAAGAAATCCAAGAAAACAACAATAAATCAGTACATGGCCAAGTGGCATGAGTCTTACCATAGTCACGCAATAAACTTGCTTTTGTTTCCGTGTTGTCAAACCACATTGTAATTTGTGTTCTAGCATTCCATTCATACTGCAAGGATTTCAACGAAGTTGTATGTCAGAAATTTGATGAACATGACTACTTGTCATCAATGCTAGAGTGACATATCATGACCATAGTGCACATACGAAATCTTAGATTGGCTCAATGTGAATAGTTGCACGAGTTTAAGCCTAATGCTCATAAACAGCCTAACAACAGGAAGAATCAAACTGGTCGATAAGAATGGAATTATCCCTACTTTCACAACTATAGGAATTTGGATTTTTTGATAAATTGGTATGATGCCATATCATTAGACATAATTCAGTTTCAAAGAATGGCAAAAGAAAAAGATTACCTGTATTTCTTGCTCACTGTTTCGTGCAAGTCCCTTGGCACTTTCCAACCAAGGCCCAAGCAGAAAACCCTCATGAGAGGATAGTAGTGTGTCAAGGTCATTTACAAGGTTGAGAAAGTGCTGGCACAGGATGGTGACTTGATTCATGTTGTTTGATTTGTAGCTCTCGATGATCTTTAGAAAAACGTCATTGGCATATTTAGCCAGAACTTGACGAGTCAAATCCACAAGGTCATACCTGTTAATATGATGCAACATTTATGAACCTTTCCTGTGCATATAATGTTTTAGTGTTTATTCATGTTTGGTTAATTGAAAAGCTGAAAGTAAGATCATGATCATCACAATACGAACGGATTACTTTGAACTGTAAAGTAAGAATTAAGGTAAATGGGAATTCTAAAGCAACAGAAAGAAATGTATGGCATCAAAGGTTTGTGGATTGGCAGAAAATAACGAGGCAAAACTAAATTTATTCTATTGACTAAAATTGTAGAATCAGACCCTCTAATTCTGATCATAAAGTTGTAAAATCAGACGACAGAATCGATATCTTGACAATCATGAGTATTAATGTATTCACACACAGTCCATTTAAGACGAGCACTTTTTTAACTTGTAAATTTTTACTACTGACAGAATAATTATTTTACAGTACGAATTAAGCAATTGGAACACCTGTGTTCTCACCTGAAGGTGTTGCTGTCAGATACTTCATCTCCATGTTGAAGAAAAAGTTCCAGGGCATGGATAACGGCATTAGTGTCGTACCATAGATGAGGATGATCATATGCATCACTAGAGGCGTCCTTCCCTATGTAATTCTTCGATGGCATTGTAGAATACATTTGTCTAGTATCCACATACAACCCTGGTGTCTCAATAACAAAAGGTTCAACATCTGGGAAGGCCACTATCACGTCCCGATTTTTGTCCTGCCAGAATAAAATTTATGATATGAGTAACAGATAAGAACCCAACCGAATCTTCAAAAAGTAGGAATATATTGATGTTTTACTTATATTCACATTTGGCATGTGGCAACAATTGCCAAAAAGAAAAAGATAATGAGAAATGTATTTTCACAGAATAATTTTGTTTAGCAAAGATCTTTATAATATAGAGTAAGATTTAAGTGTAAAATAAATATAAAAACTCCAGATTGTTAGTAGCATAGCATATCAGATATTTGTGACTTTGCAACTTGCTGACAACCTACTATCCCTTGTACATGCTTAAGTAATATTGGAAGAACAATGGACACATGGCACAATGCCTAAACATGGCAATTTTTATATTAAAAAAATCTTACATTTTTACCATCTGTGCAGTTATATAAAGTTTGATACAAAATCCACCAAGCATCTTGCAGTCCCTTCACTGGTTTTCCATATCTTCTTGTTGGATATGTCTCGACCCAAACCTGGAAATAATATAAAACTGATCAGGCCAAAAATTGCTTGCATTCATTAGCTAGTGCAATTGTGCAAAGGGAAACTTCCATAGAAACATAAATAAGAGATGCACAATAAGTAGATAAGATGAATAAAAAGAAGAACACAGCTATTGTGCAAAAAGCTCTTCTAAAATATGATTTTTTTTTAATTTCACCTGAAGATCAACTTGTCTGTGATGGAAGGCCATTTCTGACATAAGGTCATAAACAATAGGATTTTGCTCAATACCTTCCATAGACATACCAACTCCAACCTGAAATATAATTTGCTAATAGGTAAAACATCACCATCTGTATTTATGTAAGCTAGCTCAGTAGCATAAGCAACTGATTAAGCTTGACAATGTAATACCATTGTGGAGTTATCACTTAATCGAGCATCAATAGGCCCAGAAGCCAAAGCATCCAAAACACCATACATTTCAAAATCTGCAGCGAAATTGTGGAGCATGCACCTGAAAAAGGGTCACACGAGTTTTTTATTTAGGAAAATAAAAGGAGGGTAATAGTGCATGGAGTTGGCAGAAAGAGAAAAGAGAACTTTCCAGATGTAGGGAACACCATAGAACTGATCAGAATTTATCCACACTGGTTTAACTTCAGCATAAAGATCAAGAACAATCATTTTGCCAACAGGAACAGAATGCAGTAGTGCCTAAAAACAACAGAAATTGAGTTTAATCAGATAAGTAAAAAATTGGTTATGCTAATGCTGAATCCTCAAACACAACAACAACAACAATAACAAAGGTGCATGCTCAAAACAGAAACAAAAAAAAAAACCTGATGTATTTAGATAGTAGCCACCTTAAGTTCACAAGGCTTATTCAAGTTTTCAGCAGAAAAGGTGAAGAAACTGAGTGCAGAACTAATTATTAGATTATTAGAAATACAGTGGTTGTCAATCATTTGGCAATGGGACATCAATTTTTTTTCTCCAAGTATAACCTGAAAATACTGTGCTATCAACATAAATAAATCACGACAGGCATGGATTTTTTAGTTTTTACTGTATGAGCCAAATAAAAATAACAGATAACACCACTGCAAATTGTACCTCCTTGGTGTCACTTCAAAAATCATAATATGTTATTGGAAAACACAAGGCTTACCCTGACTAAATGAATGTGATCAACTCACACCATTTGAACATTAATTGCAGTCATATCATATCCAACATACTCCCTCCATTTTTAAATATATGACATTTAGGACAAGCAGTTATTAAAAAAATGAGGGCCACATGAATTTCAATCCTCACTACTCCAATAATGTTTTTGAAGAAACAAGAAGCCAAAATGAAAAGAGCCAATAAAATTATCAGCATTCATATCTTATCAAACCATGAAATAAAGTTTCACCTTCATTTGTGGAGGTTCCCAGAAAGGATCATAGGTAAACAACCAACCCTGCAGAGTAATAGATGTTACAGATCCTTGCATATCCATATATCCAAGAATGTGACAATAGAGCAAGAAATTTCTCTCAACTGGAGAAGATAATCACGCATCTGAAAGTAGTTCCAGAAGTAAAAAAGTAAAGTGAAACAACCAAGACATCCATGATCTATATTCATATCTCTAATAACTGCTTTTACAGACGAATCCAGTAATAAGCAAAAAACTAACACACAGAACATACTTGCATCAACCAAATAGCATCATTGTCACCGCTTTGCATACCCCTGAACGTTGCAGCACCCAACAAAGATATATAATTCGGTCACTTAGTGGAGGAGTGTTCTCATCAAAAGTATCACTACACAGGTAAAAATATGATTATAAATGAGAAAAATTATTGATTGGGAACTTCCAGTGAGAAGGATGGTTAATAATCATACCAGTTGTAGATGTGACTTGTCCTACCATATTCTGCACAAAAGTACAAGAAAACTCCTATGCATCAAGGTTTGTTTTCTTCTGGTGAAAAGGTGTAAAAAGTACTCTTACAGAACAGAGAAACTAATAAGGTAAAAGCTAGCCATCATTCGTTCCAAAAGAATGGCTAGCCATCACTCTTATGGTAGGAAACAACACAAGATTACAGGTCTGATATTAAAATATCTTGCACATGATGTTACACATCAACTTGAACAAAATAACAGATCCTACCTCTGATTTGTTCTTCTATAAACAACTTCCCAATTTCTACGAATAAAGGATCAGATGCATCAAGAAGATATGTGCAGCACCACCTTGGATTGCTGTCAACTGTAAACCTTAACATCACAGAGTATAGTCAAATAAGCACATGTGACTTAACACTGATGAAAAAAGGATGTCAGCAAGAAAAGTAGTGTTAGTGTACAGTGGGCTCAAATCAGGATATTAATACTTAACTTCATTTATGAATAATATGATGAAGCATTTAAGGTGAAATGAACATTAAGAATACAAATGGGCATAAGCTTGTTATGAATGTGTAGCGTGACTGTCCTAGTTTGATCAGTGGTAACAGCTCAAACTGCTAAGGTGTGAGATGCATGCAAAAATTGCAATCGAAGTTACATAACTGAAATACAACAAAGGTGGAGGCATAAAACTGCATGAAATTCAGCAGCGAAACAGGAGCTGCAACCAAGATTCCATATTTTATATTTAAGCATTGATCACGGAAAATCATATATCCCAATGTTATTTAGAAGATAGAAAATCATCGTTACCAGTTTCCAAGGTGAGTGACTTTAGCTGAAGGGAATTTTGACTTCAATGCAGCTGGGATGTTGCCAGAAAAGGCTGGAAGAACTGCAACAGATGTAGATTTTAGTGTATTATAGACACATAACAAAAGTGAGGGGGTCCTGATGTACTATAAAACAAAGACTGAGAAATTAAACATTTAGATTGGTTATATTAAGCAGAACAGGAGTTCTGAAAATGCACAGAAGTGCAAACCAATAAAGATATATTTATATCACATACTGTAACCTTAACATAGAAAAGTTGCTCATGTAACTGCACAAAATCCAAAAATGCTACAATGGTAGAAGTGTCACCTGGGAACATGCCAAAAGCGTACATCCTAGATAGGATTTTCTTTTGAAGAGCTAGTTGGTCATCGAGCCAAGTCTGAGGGAGAGGTCCACCCCATCTGATAAATCAGGAAGTGTCATTAAAGGGTAATTACTTAAAAGACGATGACAGAAAAACATCTAACATGTGAAGCCTTCGCTTTTAGATAAAAGGGCTGAAAATAAGTAATATATGGCATATGTTCGAAATAAAGAGTTCCAAAAAATTTGTATCCAAGATAAAACTAAATGATATGGGTAACTAGTAACTATCTATTCCTTACAAGTACTAAAGATGATACCAAAGTCTTGTAGGCAGCTAAAACAGCCAGTCATAACATGCTTGAAAAAAAATATCAGCACATAGGACTCAGGAAAAGGGAATCAAAGCTCAAAACAAAAATTCTTGAGCTTTCGTAGTCACATCTTATTTTCCTGACATTCCACATATAAACAGTTCTCCTTGGCTGTCTTAATCTGACATGTCTAGATGTGAGCATCCCAATTTGGAGCTATATACTCCCTCCGTTCCAAATTATAAGTCGTTCTAGCTTTATCTATGCACCTAGATATATACTATGTCAAAGCCAGAACAATTTATAATTTGGAATGGAGGGAGTATTTTATAGCAAGGTAATTCACAATGACAATCTATCTTGTGCCACAGAGTTGAGGAATAAATGAAAATAATTTTAGAAGACACAGCATATCAAATTATTACTGCAAAAGAATATTGGAATCAATAGAGTCATATAAAATTAAAAGTTTAGATGTGAGAGACCAATTGCAAATCAGATGTCTAACTTACCCATGCATATTAGCCATTCGAGACCATGCAAGAAAGGCTGGCCCACCAAAGAAATCATCCAGATCTGATTTGCTAATGTTGTACCTCTTCAAGAATTTAATGAAATGAAACAAGGTTATCCACAAACCATTTGCAGCAAAACAGGATCAGTAAATTTAAAGATATAACCTGAGATTTTTTTTTTGATAAGGAGAGCAGAAGAAGGACCTACATATGGTTTTCATTTACTTGGTGAAGGCTTATGACAAGATACCGAGAAATGTTATGTGGTGGGCTTTGGACAAACATAAAGTCCCATCAAAGTACGTGACCCTCATCAAGGACATGTACAACAATGCAGTGACTAGTGTTCGAACAAATGATGGTATCACAGCTTACTTCCCGATTAAAATAGGACTTCATCAAGGGTCAGCCTTAAGCCCGTACCTCTTTGCTTTGGTAATGGATAAGGTTATCAGGAACATTCAAGGGGATATCCCTTGGTGTATGTTGTTCGCTGATGATGTAGTGTTAGTGGACGAAAACCAGGCGGGAGTAAATAGGAAACTAGAGTTGTGGCGCGAGACCCTTGAGTCTAAAGGTTTTAGATTAAGCAGAACTAAAACCGAATATATGAGATGTGACTTTGGCGGAGCTGCACAGGAGGAGGGAGATGTGAGTTTGGAAGGTCAAGTAGTGCTTAAGAAGGACACATTTCGTTACATAGGATCGATGTTACAGAGAGATGGAGATATTGATACGGACGTTAGCCATAGAATCAAAGCAGAGTGGATCAAGTGGCGACAAGTTTCTGTCATTCTTTGTGACAAGAGGGACCACAAAAGCTAAAAGGCAAGTTTTATAGAACGGTGATTAGACCAGCTATGTTGTATGGAGCAGAATGTTGGCCTACAAAGATTCGTTATGTTCAACAACTGAGTGTTGCAGAAATGCGTATGTTGCGATGAATTTGTGGTCACACAAGAATGGACCGAGTTAGGAACGATGATATACGTGACCGCCTATGGGTAACTTGTCCAACATCGGTTGAGGTGGTTTGGCCATGTCCAAAGGAGACCTTCGGAGGCACTAGTGCATTGTGGAGTCCTAAGCCAAGCTAATAATGTGAGGAAATGTAGAGGTAGACCGAAATTGACATGAGGAAGGCAATAAAAAGATATTTGAAAGCTTAGGATATACCTAGAGATTTATGTTTGAATAGAAATGCTTGAAAATCAGCTATTGATGTGGCTGAACCGTGACTTGGGGCTCTTGGTGGGTTTCAACTCTAGCCTAACCCACCCCAACTTGCTTGGGACTGATAGGCTTTGTTGTTGTTGTTGTTGTTGTTGTTGCAATAACCTGAATTGTTTTTGTCTTAGATAAAAGAGTGCTAATATTCTCATAAAATATAATAATAAATAATGCCAACGGGAAGAATCGGTGAGGTTACATCTACTCTAGAAGGGGTCCATTTATTCCACCACAAGATGTCAATTTTAAGAACTGTGCCAAAATCATTTTGCCAACACTACATGTCGAAATTTGGTGATGTGCATCTTTGCCTGGTTATCCATACTGCCTTCCTACTGTACCGCATTTACTGTTATGCATCAATCCATTTGCTTCAATGCCTTCCTAACATTATAGGTTGCTTTTGTGCATTATTTCACGCTAATGTCACAAAAAACATAGTGGTAATTTATCCACTGTGCAAAATGCTTAAAAAGGTACAAAGATAAATACCTGAAAAACCCTCTGCCATATAGACTCTTGCCCAGTGAAAGCAAGAGGCAAATTGATTCCTTGAAGAGCCATCCAGTCAATTTCCTTCTCCCAACGGTCCCAATCCCACCAAGCAAAAGAATCTAAAGGGTGAACAAAAAAAAAAACAGAGAAATATGTTTTAGGTTCAGTTTACATGAGAAAAAATTGATGTCATCAATTCTGGAACCAACAGTCAAAATTTCAACATAAGTAAGTTATCAGCTTACAGCTGGATGTAACTGCATTCTGGTAGTAGCTCCAGTCAATGGGTCTTTGAATCAATACACCACCATCAGGAACACGAGGTAGTGACCCAGGATGCGGAATGGATGATAGTTGTGCACCACCGGTTTTATACCACGATATATGTGCTGCACAATAGTGTTTCAAGTACCAATGAAAGCCAGCAGAAATTTCGACCCCACTTACTCCAAGTATCCTGACCACAAGCAATGACAAATGTGAAGTTGTTAGGCTCTTTCCAATTTCAGCATGTAAGCATAATTTTTTTTTTTTTTTTTTTTTGGCAAGGTGAGTAGCATAACTCACAACATGAAATGCAAAACTTTCTAATACTATAGCAGATTTGCATGTTACATCTGCACAGCAGAGCAGTCCTACTAAAAGCATAAACCAATTGCACAAGCAAACATGATTGGCAAATGATTCTAGCAGAATCTAATGAGACGCCAACATTGTGTTATAAGCTGCTTTTTGGATAGGTTATAACAAACAAAATTAAAAGAGTCCTGATTTAGAAGCACAAGAGAACGTACTGCAAGATATGGTGGTTCACTAACTCATTGTTTGGTGCATGTCACACCTTTTAATGACCTAATGGGTCACATTTACTTACGAGTAAATGTAATCAACTCGTTGCAAATATATTCAAAAACACAATTACAACAGTGTTCACCTAACACCAAACTTCAGAAAACAACAGAGAATAAATAAAGCCAACACATCTGGATTGTCCTCTTGCATGAAATGGAACAATAAGGTGCTAATGGCTAGTGTTTGCAACTGGGAAAGAAATGTACATGAACAAGTTGAAGATATAGTTTGCAACGCGTGACAAAATATAAAGGGAAAACATACAATATTTCCGGAGTCCCTTCTCCATCAAACAATGGGTGGTTGTTGATGACGAAGCATGCCTTCCCACCACATTGCTCCTATCAATGAATTGGAGTACATTGTAAATCATTGTCAGTCAGTAACAGGAGTAACAGGTAGTCAGAAAATGAACAACCCATTATGAACTCAAATAGCAAAGATTACAAATCATGGGGTAGGGTCCAGACCTCACTTTCGATGGCTAAGATTATTATATAGATTATCTGAATCATATATAAACAAACATTTTCCTACTAAGATTATCTGAATCATGACACGCTTCCTTGTCTCTGAGTCTAGTTGACATTCTCACCGCACTCTTATCTCTCGGCAACTCTACTTATGCAACGCCGATTGGGTACATCTCAGTACGTTGCCTAATATGCTTATGCAACACCGAAGCGACACCTGATGTCTGATGCGTTCAACATGACAACATCACATACAGACCCTTCAATCCCCAAGCAGCAAAGCACACATACCGTGGAGATGACCCTGAACTCGAAGCTGGTGGAGTGTGACGGTAGGAGGCGCGCGAGAAGCCCCCGCGCGGCGGCCTCCTGCTCGGCCGATGACGAGCCCTCCCGGCGGTGGAGCTCGCGGACGCGGTCGAGGTGCGGGAACCGCCGGTCGGAGCATCTCACCCCCGGAACGGCGCAGGCGATCACGACGACCAGCAATAGCTGGAGGAATCGGGAAGCGGGGGTGGAGGAGGGCCGCGTCGGCATCGCGGCTGCTGTGGGTGGGGACTGGGGAGTGGGAGGAGGAAGGTGGAGGGGAGGATTGGAGTGGCCAGTGGGCCTCGGCGGACGGCATGACGACGGGTTTAACTAAGCGAGAGCGAGGTGGTCGTTGGCGATTGGGAAATGGAAGGCGACAGCGAAAGGGCGAGAGCTTGGAGACGGCGACGGGCAGACGGCGAACGGAAGAGGCGAAGACGACAACAGCGGCAGGCCGCGCGGGGAAGTGGAAACGGAGGTAGGGTGGGGCCGTGACGTCAGTCAAAACTGTTTGCTCTCTCTCTTTTTGTGTTTTTTTGGGTTTAGAAACCTTTTTTAATTGAAATGGAGACAGAATTCTGATTATTTTAATATTATACTTCATGTGATTCAAATATGAGGCGTTTACGTTTTGTTCTAAGTTAGACTTTTTGTAATTTTTGTTAACTTTAGACAAAGATATATTGACGTCTACAGTAGTCCCAAACAAATAAATTATGAATACATATTTTATGATGAATTTAATGAAACTAGTTCAATGTTGTAAATATTAGTGGTACATTCTTCTATAAACTTGACCAAAGTTAGAAAAAAATAGCTAGAACAACACTAAGACCGTCTATTTTTTAAAACGGATGGGGTTTATGCTTAGTGGAATGTGCATTCTTTTTTTCTTTTTGATAAGCAACAGTCTGAAAACAGGAGTGGGGGTACGGCCTTTGTGCGGCAGTTTGATTTGCGTAGTGGATTCTCTGTCACTTGACACCGAGCTTTAATTTACAGATTGAGTGACGGCTGAGCTTAGTTATCATAAGAAGATACCAAGCTTTGTGATGTTAACATCTTTGTTGCTATTCAGAAGCACATATGTTCAAATGTCTACTCGATCTGAAAACACAGAGGGTCAAAGCCACACACCTAGTGAGCCGCCCTTCAGCCGTCTGAATATTTATTTTCAGCCGTCTGAACAAAATTTGTTTTTGTTTACTCCGAACAGAACGTGTTTCATCCAAATGTTTATTTTCGTTGCTCCACGTTTTTTTTTTAGTTAAATGCACCAGAGGTCCATTAACTTATGATGAGGTTTCGGTTAGGTCCATCAATTTCCAAAGTGACTTTTTGAGTTCATAAACTTTGTATGCCGTATCACTTAGGTTCATACTTCTCCACGTTGGCTTCTCATGCTGACGTGGCCTGCTGACATATCCTTCTGAAGCAGCTCTTGGCAATGCATTTTGTCAAACAGCTTGTGGGCGAGCACCACTGCCTCGGCGCCGAACATCGGATGCACACGGGGTCACCGCGCGCCTACGAGCAGGGCGCTGGCCATGACGGCACCAGGCGAGGCTAGCGCGGAGGCGCGCTCGAGCCCTCGCGGTGTGCCAGGTTTGCGGTGGCGCGTCCTCGGTGCCGCCCTACTCTGGCGCGCTCCCCGCGACCCTTCTGTCCTCGCTCCCCTTCCTCGCGTCGCTATCCCTCGCCGACAACCGGTTCCACGACGAGCTCCCCACGGGGTCCCGCTGCCGCCGAGCCTCCGCATCCTCGACCTCTCCGGCAACGCCTTCTCCGGCGCCATCTCGGGGTCCCTGTTCACCGCCTCCTCCGCGCTGCAGGAGCTCTACCTCTCCCGCAACGGCTTCTCCGGAGGGGTACCGCCGTAGCTGGCGCTCCTAGGCGCCATGACGCGGCTCGAGCTGCAGCACAACATGCTCGCGGGGGCCCTACTGAGGCTGGGCGCAATGCGCTCGCTGGTCCACCTCGGCGTGAGTGGCAACACGCTGTCGGGCTAGCTGCTCGACGTGCTGGGGACGCTGCCGCTGTCGCTCTGGTCCGTCGCGGTGCGCAACAACTCCTTCTCCAGGCCGCTGAGCGACGCGGCACTGGCCACGCTCTCCACGGTGCGGGTGCTGGACCTCACGTACAACGCGGTGTCCGGCGCGGTCCCGGGCGCCGCGCTCGCGCACCCGGCTGCATGGTGGACCTGATGGTTCGCGTCGAAAGGCTGGACGGACGCGGGACGCGCGTGCTCATCGAGGGCATGTTGACTGTTGAGGCAGTCGTGTTGCGGCAAGGCCGTGCTCGACCTCGACGGCTGGAGGGTGAGCGCACACTGGAGCGCTAGCTCTTCTTGCTTGGATAGGTCCCGCGGCGTGGGCGCGTGGAAGACGATGACCATTCACGCCGCACGTACACACGCTTCACGTTTGGCTTGTCACCGAGCTCGATCAGTTCCATCATGGCCGCCGTTCATGTAGCTAGCGAAGCCATCAAGACGTATGTATAGTGCCGCTATTCACTAACCATTCTGCCTAGCCCAAGCGACATAGGAGCCGAGGTGCACCGAGCGACTCTGACGTACTCGCACCAGCTACTGGTCGTGGACGTCGGTCCAACCCGGGGCCCAAGTACCCGCTGTCATTGGCGCACGTGCGCGCGCTCCTCTGCGTGCTGGACAAACTGCTGCGCCTCCCGCTGGCTCAGGCCACGCTGGCCTGCGCCGCCATCGACGCTGAAGGTCTGCTGGACGGCTTCCTCGTCCTGGCTGACGCCTTCGGCACGTTGCTCGCGGCTTTGGTCGCGCTCCGGCAGCACGCGCTCCAGGAGGTCCGCGAGCATGGCGCGATCGGCGCCCGGTGGGAACGCGGCCTTCTACGACAACCTGGCGCACGTGGCCGACTTCTTCGACGCCGCGGAAGGCGCCGGCGCCGGGGGCGTGCTGGCCGCGATGCTGCTCCTGAAGGGCGACGACGGGCGGGCGTGGTACACGGCGGCGGACGCGCTGGCGTTTGTGACGGCCAGCGCTCGGGAGGCCCGGTGGCGGGTGGGGCGTCGGCGTCGACGTGGGGACGGGGGTCGGTGAAAGGCTCCAGAGCAGGTGGGCCGTGCTGTTCCGGCGCGTGGGAGCTCGATGCAGCTGCGTTGTCGGGAGAGAGCGAGGCCGGCCGGCGTCCTCCTCGCGCGATTGGCACCGCTGTCTGTCCCGTGTCTCGTGCAAGCACCCATGCAGTGGCCACCCATGCCACGGTGTCGAGAACCCATGCAGTGCGCTCGTGCGACACTTGGACGGGCGCCTACACGTCACCAGGGGGCCATCCCATCGCCCACCGGCCACCGCTGTCTGTCTCATGTCTCGTCACGGGCTTTGCTTTGCTTCGCTGTTGGTGCGGAACGTGCGTGCAGGCGCGCCCCGTGCCCCACCGCGCTTTCTTCGCGTCGGCGTGTGGCGGTGTGTGGCCAATGGCCACCCGCCTGCTGCAGCGCGTGATCCTCTGCTCCGTCGTCGAGTTCACCGGCCATCGCCCATAGCGCTCGCGTGGCCGCACCAGGGCGATCGGTCATGTGGAGCCGACGTGGGTGCGTGACGCCGACGGGCTGCAGCCGAACCCAACTGAGCTGGTGCTGGCCTGGCCCCGTTCCTGGCTCGTGCCGTCGTGCTCGTGCACACCTCCCTCGGATGGAGCCCGCACACGCCGCCATGATGCCAGTGAGCCACTGAGCCTTGCGGCGTGGGCTCACGTGGGCGGGCTCGGTTCGAGTCCCCGAGGTGGAGGCCCAAAGCAACTCAAGTTCAAGTCTGTCTCGGCCTACAGGACCAATCTGTCTTAAACTGGTCACCCAGGACGCATCCGGACTCCGTTTTTGACGATCCACATATGGTTGGAAAGCTAATTTGATAAGAAAACCAATCCAAATGGTCTCACGCCAAAAGACCTTCAGAATCAACGGGAATCATCGAAACAAGTCAGCGTCCAGAATTTGCCAGGGTGCTGCGACACCGTCTTTTGGTCCATTGAACTGTGTATCGTGTTTGGGCTCATTAGGGGGCGCGTCCAAGGGGTGACGCCCAAGACTCTATAAATAGCAGCCGTCACTCTCCTTAGGGTTTGGGTTTTGTTTAGTTCTTGATTTCCTCATGAAACAGACATCGTTTTGCTGCAACTGTGTCGTCAAGGCTGCTTGCTGTGAACCAGGGCCCCAGTTCTTGATCTTGTTCACCTGTGGTGATTAGTCCTTTCGAATAAAGACTTGAACTCCTTCTTGTTTTCATAAGCCTCATATTTATTTGCAATTTCAGATTGCGTTTTATCCCATTTTTGCTTGTGTTCTCGATTCGCTTGCAGGAAAGCCTTCTCGGCGAGGTCAATCGCGTTCGCGTGGTTGATAACCAATGGAGAGTGGTGTAACGGGTGCGGGGTTCGAATCAGTCTTGGTTCGAAGCCTAGATCGTGAACGTCGAGTCTCCACCAATCGACGCTATCATACCTTTAGGAAGATCGGGCCTAGTCTGCATCAACTGCCCCACTGCGATGGACGCTAGCGTGCTACATGTGAGGCGCCGGGTGGGCCGACCTGGAGTCGCCGCTCATGCATGTTGACACGCGCGCGCTGCATGGGTTCACTGTTGGTCCATGCAGTGGCTGTTGTACGCGCGCAAAGACCGGAGGCTCCCGCCGGCGGATCCTCCGGCCAGCTTGTGGAGCTGGACCTGAGCAGCAACATGCTCGTCGGCGCGGCTCCCAGCCTGCCTTGGCGCAATGCCGCAGCCCGCGGCGGGCCTGCTTTCGTGCCCGTGTGGCAGCGGCAGCATTACGCGTTGAGCCTAGTCATCATTCCACATTAGCATGAGAAGCCAACGTGGAGAAGTATGGACCTAAGTGATACGACATACAAAGTTTGTGGACCCAAAAAGCCACTTTGGAAGTTGATGGACCTAACCGAAACCTCCTCACAAGTTAATGGACATCTGGTGCATTTAATTTATTTTTGGTTGAGGAGATTGCTCCAAGTAGCTAGTCGGCCGGCACATGATTCATGTTGGCCCAGAGGCCCAGATCTTGTACCAAAAAGGCCCAAACTATAAGTTTCGGGCTTGATGGCAAAGGGGTGTGGTGGCCCTGCTCAAGGTTCTTGCTTAAGGAATGAATTGCCGAGTGTTTTCTTCTGAAAATTCTGAACTCGCAATGCGTACGTTGATGAGATTCAGATCCACCAGATCAAATTCAGGACAC